CAATAGAGCCCATTGTCATTATCTGTCCCAAATACACCTATATCGGGCTATATGAGATAAACATACTCAAAAGTCCTCTCTCACTCCACCAAACCCTCAAAGACGAGAATACAGTTGAAATCAGTATATTTTTCTACAGTATAAACCTAAGTCATTCACTGTAAACAATGGACATGGACCAATTGCGCCCAAAACAAAATTTGTATTTTTGGGTCATTATACCAATTGCGCTTACCGGCTCCCTTCAGATATGAAAATATTGTTGTTCGATCTAATCCCATCAACATCAACATAAACAATCTACACGCTAAAAACTTATTTACTGGCCAATTGATTACTGGTTAAAGTGGCTTATGGTTATAATATATTTTCATATCAAATATTATGATTGGTTAATTTCCCATCCAAATTTGTTTGTGTTTTTAAAAGCAACAATCGAAACACGGACTAGCACGTATATTGCAATAAATAGTTCAGATAAAGATAAATAATTTAACAAAGAAATGAACAATCGTGAGTCAATTATTCTATTATTGAGAAATACAGATCTGTCAAAATCACCAGAAAAGAATTTTTTTTAATCAGTGTGTTATTATTATTGTAAAAATTAATCTAAACAAATTATTGATCTCTGGTCAGGTGACACTACTGAGGGTCTTCCTATTCGAATATTTCATAATGTCATATAAACTTTGTCATCATACTTACTGATACTCCCAAAAAATTCGGTCAGTGTATTCATTTATTATATAATTATACATTTATACATTTATAACTAAGTGATAAGTTGTCCTCAGGTATTGTAAAATGTGTAGAAAGCAATTGGCCTATCGACCATGAAATTCTTAGAGCGCAAAATTAGTATATGAAAACGTCATTTTAAGCGCAACTGCAGGTAAACTGCCTGTAGACAATGAATCAATATTTGTGCCAAAATGTAATGTAAATTAATACCTTTTTGTCTAAAATATGTTAGTTAATTGTAGGCTAAAAACCTGCGCTGTTGAAAGCCTTTTTCTTTAATGAAAAAAAATATATATATATTATATAGTTACATACCTATTATGAGGATGTTTTGTCTTCAAAAGCCAAAGTTTTATCTACATAGTTGTAGTGTTCGTTTTCCATCACAGACCATTATTATTGCAATGGGCAAGTTGTTTTATAAAAAATAGGTAGACTTAGTATACACTTTCGATCTGAAAAATAATGTATCTAAAACATTAGTTGCCTAGACCAGTTTATCGAAATAAAGGCATAAAGCAATAAGTCATATATACCTATAATAGTTTACATTCTTCTAAAATATAAAATTGATATTCGCTGGAAGACTTGGGTGTTAAAACTATTGGCACGAGGTGAGGCATGAATAAGTTATAAACACATGGAAATAATTTCTATCATGTCTGTGGTTATAAATGATTTGTCATTATAGGCACATCGAGATAAAAACGATATGGAGATTTACAAAACGGTATTGTTTAGACAAAACCAAACAATGTGTGCATCGACATTATTCGTATAGCATTATATCATTATACTTGCTCTATTTTTGATTAAACTATGCGTCTATGCCCACGCACATTTTTTTTATTAGCCACGCATCGCACTCTTGAAGTCTATTTTTGCTCGAGGCTATTAATACAAGTATTGTATGCCAGGTGCGACTTACAATCATTAAACTATCGTTTTAGACTTAAAAACTACTTTTTAACTCTTCGGTGAAAATTGTACGGAGAAAAATGTGACATATTGTATACATGATTTATTAAATTTTTTTATTATTTATAAGTTACAAGCGATGGCGTGTGTTGTTTCCTACATATTTTTCTATCAATTCGTAATTATAACAAAATCTCTTCGTACGTGAACAGGTAACCAGTTTCCCTGCAGAGTGAGCAGTAAAGGTACACCCCAAATAATTGTCTTGTATTATGTTACATGATTAAATGTAATTATTAACAACTTCATAATTTAAATCACGACTAATAACGACGGTGCTTAATATTTCAAAATTACGCTTAACGCATGTACAGATATCACGTAATGTGTGCCCATCACGACAAGTGTATTAATATTTTTTACAATCATACTTCCTTCAAAAGTACAACTTACACGGTGCACAGATAAAAACAATATTTTGTACCCATGAAATTCTCAAAAAATAATCTCGAATTTAACAATATTGTAGAGGTACAATTAGTTACCAATTTCCAACATTTCATATACATTGTATTGTAACCGGTATAAATAATAGTCACAAGTGTTTTTTTTTTTTAATAAGTTTTTAAGTCTTAATTAATTTCAACAATTTAATTTTACTAACTGCATTATTATAATTATTATTATTATTTATAATTGTTTTAAAGATGTAAATCAATAGTTTTTATATATTTTAATGCGGGCCTGCATCTGACCTATTCAAAACAGCGACGATTGACGAATAATACGTCAGTTTCTTGTCATTAGTTGGGTAACAGTTCTATTTTTGTCCGTACCTGTTTATGTATAACACAAACTCAGATTTCTAAACTTTGATTAGTTAAATAATTAATAGATTAATTGATAGGTAGGTACCCATATCCGATATCGCGTACATTGAGTTTTACAGATTGAAAAAACCTATTAAAACCTACTCATTTTCGATGCTCTGGCCAGGTTAATATAATAATATTATCTGAATAAAAGATCATCGTTAAACTATTATTATACAATACCGCTGTAATATTGTTTAGAATAATTATATTTCTTTATATTATTATGATTTATTGCGAGCACACGAATTTCGAGTAAATATTTGTTCTGACGTGGACGATTTTTTTTATCAGCTTTTAAAAAAGCAATATGATTAATATTGAGAAAAAAATTAATAATGATGATCTCTAGCATATCATAGTAACTTCACGTTGTAATACAAATTGTTATGTCGACCTTGTTAACTCGCTCAACTCTTACCCTGTTTGATAAACTATTTATTATGTACTTGGATGAATTGTACGAACATTGTTAATAATATGTTATCTTCGTTGGACTATAATATTCGTTCGATTATCGGTTAGCTGGTGTATTGTACCTATATTGGTACCCATTTAAAATGTAAACACTGAACAGAATTTTTAATCGGAATTCGATGGCGATAAAATAATGCCCTAACCTGCATCGTATCATACGGAGTGATCATCGACCGTTTAAGTTGTCGCACACGACTTGCCGACATGTCCTAGCTATATAGTTGTTGACTTTGACGACTGTCCGTAAGATATTAAAAGAAGACCCTTACGTTTAAGCATTGCTGCACATTTGCGCTCAGCAGATCACGTTTCATTTGGTTATACTTTCAAAACTAGATCGAATCGACCTGTCATGAAAATTGACGGTAAGAAAGTTAATGGCCGTGTTCCTGTGTTGGTTTTTCGAGATGGTTCAATATTTCTGAGCGAGTGATATATAAGCAATTTTAATTGTGAGCTAGACTTGCTAAAAAATCGTACCATCGTAAAAAACCAACACAGCATCACCGATTTCTCGTTCTTGCCGTCAAGTTTCATTGTACGTCGATTCCGTCCGATTTTTAAACTAATGACGGATTTAAAAGTGATCTGCTAAGTTCGAATTCGCCATGTGATACGCACGTCTTGTGAGACGGAGACAACACACGCTGGTTTGGCGGCGTCCTCTTGAGGTGTAATAATTAATGATATAGTAATAACTCTTTATATTATAATAATATATATATTTCTAACAAACACATTTCGACCATTTTCCCGTCGGCGGTTTAATTTTAAAGCTACAGCGGTATGGGCATGATGGGCTGTGTAACAAACACCGTTAACCCGAAACCAAAAAAGTATATCGTAAAAAACAAACCGACGACACCTGAGCGAGTAGATCACGTCATAATAATAACCAATAATAATATTATGGACACGAGGAGCTCGGTCTTTCGTTTCCATTCGATGCTATACCATACTGGGCAGGTCAACGATAATTTTCGATCGATTGAAAATATTTTAAAAAGTTTAAAGTTAATAGTTACCATAATAGTTTTCAGTTTTAACTAGGTCAAGTTGAAAGTTATATGGAAACATAAAATTAACTTACTGACTCGAGTTACTGTTTTATTTTACTTTTTTAATGCACATATAGCCTGTTATACGGTTTAAAATAATAAAAAGTAAATGTTTATGCAATAATATGCATCGTCAATTATAGGCATCTCATTACATTAATTATTACTCAATTATTTATAATATATTGACGTGACTTGGATTTGATAAAAGTAACTATAGTTATTTATTGATATTATATCAGTAAAAATCAGTAGGGTTAAAAATTTAATTAATATAGCGAGAATCAGATTTTTAAAAAATGAAGTCGAAAAGTAAAATCAATAATTAACTTTAACTCGTTAACGTTTTTATGTCCGGTATTGTATTTTACCATGCGGCGGTATCGTCGTGGTATTATAATATACCACAGGTATAGTCTCCGTTCTCCAGACCTCACAGAACATAATACTTCGTAGGTCCTATACCTGTGTATCAGTGTATAAAATATGTGTTATAGACATATTTTAATAACTATTATTATCCACCGTAACGTAATAGGTACGCGATATTGGGGGTATACTTAGTACACTATTATATAGGTACGTCTATATTAGATATTATGTTTTTTATTGTGCACTCGTACCGCACCGCCACTTTAATAATATTTAGAGACGAGACCGATGGCCGACGGATGTATACCTAACCTACATGATGTACCTCCTCATGACCGCACCGGTTATAATGCTATCGTGTCAGCACAATATTATTATAATATTATGTTTTCACCTTTATAACATTATTTTTTTTTTTTCTATAATCGTGAACCTTATCAGTTATCACTCTGCGCGCGCACACGCGCCCATCGCCGAACGCTGGTGGACCTCAACCTTCCCTACCCGCCCCCCCCCGACCACCCGTAACGCATAACGTCGAGCCCCGTTCGGAACAGGCGGCGAGGCGTATCACCGTCGGTATCAGTGTGATTCACGTTTTCCGCCGATAAACAATAAATTCGTTACGATATTGTTACGACGATATGGGTAGGCACGACGAGTGTTTACGTCTCGCGTCGCGTCGTACACACCGCGCGGGCGGGTAGGCACTATATCGTCTTGCGGACACATTTCGCAGTCAATCCGAGACGACAATAACCACCGCTGCGACTGCGTGTCGTCGAGCAGTCGGCGGACGAACTGACATTATTCCGTACAACCACCGACCACCGTACAGTCAACAACAGTGCCCGTGTGCGCCTGCACCAGCTACTTCCGTCCGGTGAAAATAATATCATAAGACAACGATGATCGTGACGACCGCAGATAGGTAGGTACGAATAATTAACGACGACAACAACAATGATATTATCACAGTCGTAATGTACCGCCGCAGAAGCGAACAAAAGTGAGACACGAGTTTCCCGCGCAATAAATATTAATTACTATAGCGTTGCACTGTAATACGCCTGTACGACAATCGAACTCACGTCCTGCGCACAGATCGATGTACGCGCGAAGTCTCATATATTATTACCTATCTGCTGTTTAAAATGAATTGAGAGCTGTTGTGTCGCGTGCTTTCGGCGTTCACTTTTTCATTTTCCGACGTGTGTCTGTTATTGTAATGCTGCGACGCGTGCAGTAAACCGGCCTCGCACACAACCGCAGCTGACAGGTACGTACCCGCACAATTGAACAATAATATTGGGCACTGCAAGTGTGCCTAAGTAATAATAATATTAATAATAATTACGATTTAAATCGTCGGCTAAACTATGTACCGACGAGTTCGACTCGCCGCTTCGACGATGTAATAATTATTTTGTCGATATCGCAGACAGCGTTAAAATACAACATCCGTCGTCCCACTTTTGAGTGGTTATCGCTGACGATATAACGACGATTTCCGGCCGCACGAGTTGATTTCGAGAATATTCTTATACAAGTCAACAATAGTATTTTGGTTTTTCATCGGCCAGCTGATGAGCCGAGATCGTTTTGGTGAAATACACATTAAAATTCACCTATGGTTGTCAGACGACTTAAGTACCCACCTGTATGACTTCAAAAAGTCTTATAATCGCATTAGTAGCAGTTGATTGCTGATAACAATATAATATACCGGGATAACATTGTTCCCACCTATTATGTTAGGAAATTGGTTTCCAAACGAATTATCGTGTTTGTATATTTTGAACTGCAACAGTATTAGGATTTTTCGGTTTTACTAAACATACATAATATTACGAAGTTATGTGTGTGAATATTATTAAAATCATAAAAAATGTAAAAATGTACATTTAAGTTTGAATGACCGTCATTGTTGTTCTCGTTATTATTACTATAAAATATAACACCAATGAACATATTATGGGTATTACATATATTAACGATAATTTATATTTCAATGCGCATAAGATAAAAAAAAAGCCAAAGTCGAATACAATATGAAACAAGTCGCATGTGATGTTTGAATTTAACCTCACATACATTTTACATCCATGCGAGATATTTGTTTTGATTAATTAGTAAAATATTTAGTGTGATCGAGAAGGTTATAAACATATTACTCGTATTATTAAATGATTATAATATTATTCACTGTCGAAATCGATCGATTACAATTTATTATTGAAGTAAACAACTTAAAATATGAATGATAACAACAATGGAGGAATGCATGTCACACCTACATTCATGTTTTTTTTTTAATTGATCTCCCATAGAAAAACAAACAAACATTTTGTTTATTTGTGATTGAATTGAAATTATTGGGAATAAGCTGCTAAAAATCGAAAAGTTGGTATTGAAAATGAACTGATCCCGCGAGACTCGTATGATAAATTGATAAATTTCTGGTCGTTTTCCGAATCGAAATAAAGTTATTGAGTTATCCCCAAAAAACAGAGCCGCCTGGCTCGTGTAATATTATGATAATATAATAACTATTATTTATTATGGTTATCGTGAGTATATTCAAACGTCTTTCTTAACCCCGAAAAAAGGGTTTGGGGTTGAGCCGACGATCTTCTTACGCGATAAGCCGAACGAGTTTGTGTAACCTTTTTGTTTGTTGGAAAATAAAAAACGACAAACTAAAAAAAAAAAAAGATAATAATAAAAATAAAAAACCAGTTTGTCACGGAAATCCAATACGCGCCTCCGTTTCCTGCCTGCACCAGTAGTCCAGAGATTTGGGACCTAACGACTAGTGTAGTCGCGTACACGTCGAGTATCATAATGAATTATATATTTGAATTAAATTAAATTAAAAAATATTATTATATTGTACGCAAGTGTTAGATTTTATGGGAACTATATCGGGCCCGGAGCATCAGCTCCGCAGTTGTCCGCTAATGAAACACTCGATTGGCGAACCGGAAAATAATAATAAATAATGATAAAAATATTGATAACAGTCATATTGACAGTTTTTTTGTCCTAAAAAACCGCACGTGGTTACCTCGATCTTGTGTAGTCCGAGACGCACTTTTTCTGTTTCACGCAATTTAACTCGTTTTCGGAATAAACTAAACATATAATACCAAGCCTGGGCTTAAACGAGTTAAAAAGTTAATGTTAAGTTAATTTTAAAACTTAATTTTTAACTCAACTGAATTTTGTTGATGTAAACTTAATAAATAACTAGTTACGTTTAATCAAATCCAATCTCGTTAATTTATAAACAATTAAATAATAAATGTAATATAATTATTATTGGTGATACATATTGCCTAAACATATTTACTTTTTATTATTTTAAAACATAAAACTGGCTATTCATATATCGATAAATAAATAACTTAACTTAAATTCATAAGTTAATAGTTGTAAATTTCCAAAATTCCCAACTGTAAACTAAACTGAATTTGAAGAAAAATTTAGATAACTATTAACTTTAAATTTTTAAAATGTTTTCCTACAACTTAACTCAACTCAATTCAATTAAAAATTATCATTAACATGCCCAGGTTTCGCATAATACACATCATATGAATAATTTGCATACGCCAAGATTGTTTGCACAGTAGTTGATTCTTGAGAATTCAAACCTTCGATAAATCGAAGACTTTCGGTAGTTCGAAGTAATTGCTAGTACCCCCAAAAATCTAGCAGCCATTCTCATAAAAACAATTTACATTTAAGTACACTCGACGATTAGTAGAAAAACTTTAGAGAAAACTAGACGCCAATATACGACAGTTTGAAGTTCAACGCTCGAAGGGTATTTTCCCCAAAATGCATTTATTATGACCTTATTGTTCGTAATTATTTGTCTTGCAATTGTGTATGATTTTAGCTTATTAATCCCGGTAACTATCAAATCATCATTATCGTATGCGCGACATTTTTTCCATAACTCAGTATTGGAAATGTTTTTTTCCCTCTAGATATTTTTAACCATTTAGTAATTCGAACTCTCAAAAATATGAAATTTTTCAAAATTAGTCCCACCAACTTCGAATTATCGAGAGTCCACTGTACATCTACGCAAACACCTGTTTATTCTTTTTTCAAGAGCTTTCTTACAAGTGCCTTGTCCACCGCACAGTCATATTTAAATAATTTGATGTAATATTATATATAGTGACTTAAGCTTATTTTTTCATACATTTTGTCATTCTAACCTAATAGATAAGTTTTTTTAGATCCCTTTTCAAAAACTTAACTCAATATTGGCAATAATTATTAGTGTAGGTATTAATTATTATATTTAACAGTCATTAGTTCACTTAGTCATGTACTTATTAGAGATGTTATAAATTGATACAACGATTGGTGGTATGAATAAAAACAGACGTACACTATTGTGTGACCCGAAGGTCGCCGAACCACCAACATTGGACTTTTGTCCTAATTTATTTGCTTAAGCACAAAGACAGATAAATATTATATTGAGAAAATACTGCAACTAATACATATTAAACTTAAATATTCCTTTTGATTAATCAATTATAATATAGTCATTTCAACTAAATTATACGATTAGTAACAATGATTTTGATGAAATTATTTAATAATAAAAAAAAATAATAAATAAATAAATAAATAAATAAAAATAAACAAAATAAAAATATAATATCTGTACAATATATTAATATATATTTACATATTAAATTATATATTTTATAATTAATTGATGGGATTTAAACCAAAATAATTCTGTTTAGGAAAAAAAACAAAATAGGTCCCGCGGTAGAATAGATCAAGTGCAGGTTTTATTATTTTTACAATGACTCGAAGACATTGCAGTGGTACATAATATATTTAATACTCTGTCGTTTATTACTTGTATTATATATATCCTATGCTTTAAGCTTTTCCGATTCATTTAAAAATCTATTAAGATTAAAAAAAAAAAAAAACTGAACGAGTTACGGTCCATATATGTACTTACTATTAAATTAATACGAGAAATGAAGGTCTCGTAATTTAATCAACATTAAATAAGTAGAAAAATATTGACCGTGCTAGATTAAAACTACCTAATCATATTAGGAGTTATATAACTTCAAAATAAAATAAATGTATGGTTTTAATTTTAAAATCAGATTTAATTGATAGGTTTAACTACTGGTTTGAGTTGCTATGCAATTGACTAGGTATATATATGTGTGTATATATAATGTGTGCTTTATTGCACCTAAACAATATTATTAAATGTTTGCACAAATAAACTGAAACGCTTTAACATGATATATTTATACATTTTAAACGATTAAAAGAGAGCAATACATTTCATAGATATATGGTACGAGTTTCAGTTGCAAGAGTAATTTTATTTTTACATTTTTATCAAAAACTGTCAGACGTTAATTCTAATTAGTAATTAGTATAGGAATGTAGGAAATCTATATTCGTGTCTCGCAGTTCACATATCGGTATTAATAATGGCGTATCGCATCGTGTTAAATTTACTCACAGGTGCATTTCAAAATATTGAAATTCTTAATAATTGTAATCCGTTGGTTATTATTAATTATTATTTATTACCACACTAATTTGTGCTCAGAAATGACGGAAAAACATACCCAACCGTAATTTAATACAAACTAAATAACTGTATCAGCGCCCACGGGTTATTCAATAAGATTTACTTTTTTTTTTCTTACCACTTAACCATCACGAGTAATTAATAATTATTAATTGTACCTTGTACAGTATACACTCTACAGAACAGAATCAAACGAACAAACGTATACAATAGACGTATACTAATCAAAGCTCGTTGGGCAACCGTATCATAAATCATGGTATTACGTTATTCATGCCAGTAATCAGTTTTGTATCGGTAAAGCTGCACCGAAACAATTGTTTATTCAAAGTCGGTTTCGAACATCGAGAATCGTAAAAGATAAACATTCAACTAATCTAGGAGTCTACTATACACGTGCTCCGCGTTGCAGGGGTTGTCAAACTAATTGTGAATGAGAGGAATATGTATGACCTTTTTATAAACGACGTGTCGACTATATTCGCCATCAACAGGTGTTGCAACACCACGTTAATTAAACTAACGGTTTACTTTTCTTTTATCGACGTGTACACTGCCGTTTACGTGAACTGTGAGCCCAGTTCGGAAGACAAAAACACTCTCCTTTTACTGTAATATCTAAGTGTCATAGACTTCATTTTAAAAACTATTTTTATCCCTATCCTAGTTAAAACTAACATTTTTGCATTTTTTTTTTTGTTTGCAAGAATTTAACTCACCGATGCTGTAATTGTAAACCATCTAGGTTAGTATCGAAACCCGTTCGAAAATCCTTCCACGGCGAAATTCGAAAACAAGTAAAATATGTATTGAAACGGCCATCAACAGGTGTCGTCAGCACCGATATGTTCGAAAGACTTTAAACATTTTTACTTTTAACTTGTTCGATATTTTCATACGTTCTAAGCCGTAAATATACTTTTTATTAAACGTTTTCATTAAAACCTACCTTCATTAAACCGGGCGTATACTGATTGCCTTTGACTAGGATGTCTCCCGACATTTGTGTTTATTGTTTCTCAGAGGTAACGGTCTGATGTCGTCAACTTTTACAACAATAAGTGAGCTACGTGAATAATATTTTGTATCTATCACCGTTTATTTAGGCAATTATTTATATTGTTTCATGGAGTGTAATAATAATAAATTGTAAATTTATATAACGATATTGTTTTTTTATTATTTCTCCATTGGAAAATTGTACGTTTCCTTTTGCTAATAAATACATTATTATTGACTTTGTACATAATGCATTAAAGTGTATTGAGTAAACACGCGAATACGTGGTCGACCGATTTTGGGGATAACTAATCTTTAATACGATCGATTCCTCTAAAAATCGACCAGTCGATTGCGAACCCTGACCTTGTACCGACTGTTAAAATAGGCTAATGTAAATACACGAGACCTATCAGGTAAAAAAATACATATTATGTTAGTTCCTAGACGATAGGAAAAAGTTTCTTCGTGGGACATTGCATAAAAAAATATTATATATTAAAATTAAATTTCACTCTATGAACAATAGTATATATTTTGGAACAAGTATTACACTTTATATAAACCACATAAAATATAATAAATGTTTTTTTTGTACAAATTGTATGAAATACTATAGTGAAATGTACCTATGAAAATAAAAAACAATTATAATATATATAATACCGAAAAATTGTTTCTGCTGTGAATATACAAATGCACATTTTTTTACTACGTTTGAACTTACGCATCTCATATTACGTAGGAATTAACGTACGTACCTATTTTACCTGTCTTATTCTAAAGTAGGAACTTATACGAAAAATGTTAATAAAAAAATGGTACATGGTGGAGAGGGCATGGATCCTTCGATCCCCCTCTCTCTAGCCGGATAAGAAAGCACAATTTAATATAATAATACATATGTAGGTTACCATTCTTTTTCCACACTGTAAATTGATTTCGATTTTTTGTTTTGCGTTTTCTCGGTTAGACCACTGGACCGGAAGAACACGCGAACCGGTTCGATGGCGAATCGCAATACCGGAAGTTGCTGTTGTAGCGACGACGACGATGACGACGACGAAGAAGAAGACGAAGAAGACGAAGACGACGATGACGACACCAGCGGATCGTGTTCGAGCTGTTCGACCGCAGAAGCCGACGACGACGATGACGGCGGCGTGACCCGACGGCGACTGACTTCCGGAAGGACGACTGCTGCGGCCGCGGCCACGTCGTTCGACCTGCTGGACGCCCGGCGCCTGCCGGACCTGTTGGACGCCGAACGACTGGTGGCCGTGCTGGACGGGTGTCTGGAATCGGAGTACGTGCGTGGCTGCGTGGTCGAGACGTGGGACGCGGTGCTCAGCGAACACCTGGAGGCCATCGCGCACCTGGTACTGTACCAGACACCCGAGCACGCCGTCAGCCAAGCCGTGTACGAACAGCTCGTCGGACTGTCCACGTCCCTCCGGCCGCCCGCCAACGACGACCAGCACCAACAGCAACAGCGGCCGGCCCGCGTGGACGCGGCACGGGTGTACGGCACGCTCAGGTCGGCGGCCCGGTCGCTGCTGACCACCCGGGTGGACGCGTGCTGCCGGCAGAGCATGTGTCGGGCCGTTGGGCTAGCCGTGGCCGCGCTCCGGTGCAGCACGCGGCCCGTGTTTTCGGTGGAAAACTTCGTGGTCGAGATCAACGAGGCGGCCAACTTCGCCAACCTGTACTGCACCGGGTACGCCAAGCGCATATGCGCCGCGCTCGAGGGCATCTACGACACGGTCATGGCCGGCGACTACCACCCGACCAACGTCGTGGTCCAGATGGCCGTCATGGACAAGTGCATCAGGGCGGCGGTGCGGACGCTCGCCGACGGCCGGGCGACGGCCGCACAGAAGACGGCCGCCCAGCGGTCGCTGCTCGCCGAGCTCGACGACGTGGGCGCGACGGTGCGCATGAAGAACCACGGTTGCGTGGACGACGCGGCCGCGGACTCGCAGCAGCGACGCCAAGTAGCTGTGGCCACGGCGTCGTCCACGGCGGCCAGGTTCGTCCACTTCACCATGAGCCCGTGGCGGGCGCCCATCCGCATGTACCACCAACAGTCGCCGACCAGCGTGGACCAGGTGCTCAGGGCCACCGTCCGCTTGGTCGAGGCGCTCGTCGCCGAACTGTTCAAGCCGTGCCTGAGCGGCCGGCACCGCGCCCCCCGTCACATCCGCCGCCGCCGCGCGTGCAGCAGCCGTCAGATGCACGACAAACAGCTCTAGGACCGCCCACATTTTTATCCGTGTAAATATCATACGTTTTACCCGATCCTCGCGATCTATAACCTACCTACCCTTGCTTATCACATTATATGCGAACCACGCGAATTTTATTTTTATTATTATTATTTTTTTTATTACCATTTAATTGTGTGTAAATTTTATACTTAACTTTAGTCTTTAAATTATTTTATTTATATTTATATCGAGATTTTCAAGGAAGAAATCGGAGCGTATCGATACGTCTCGGATTTGCAATTTATTGAGCGATCGATACCTACCGAGCCGTATCGGACTCAGACTTCACGGTGTGGTACAATTATTCCTTATCGACACGTAACGAATTTTTATTCTTGAAAATCTTATAATTTTATTTCATACTCGTGTCAGTGTGCTGTACATAATTGTTATTAAATGGCAAAACAATTTTATAATATTGCACACGTTTTTGATTAATTCCCACGTTGCGTTTACGACGCCTATATAGTGTCCATCACCTGAATATCCGTTTCTTAAGGCCTCGTAATTTTTTTTATTTCCTTGGCGTTTAAATATGGAGCCCTCCGCAAAGTATTTATCGAAATATTTAACAGTACGTAATTTTTAGTTACGATTTTTATTTACAGGCCTGTTTTTTTTATTTACAAAAAACTGATCCAGGGGCCTTTGTTGTGGAGCCAGGATGACACAATGCAATATTATGATAGATTTTTGTTTGTTGTTTTTTGAAGTATTTGGTTAGTTTTTTTTCTCAAAGACTCAATTACTACCAGTGGATGAGGGGGCAGAACACTCCTTTTTATACTTCTGTTAAATTTAAAGTATACTATATTATTTCATGAATAATTATTATTGTAATGTATTTTGTTTTGTGCACAGTAGGTATTTCAATATTTCATGTTTATTGAGAAATCATTAATAGTATTATAATCATTTGAAATGAACAAAGTAGGTAATTCCCTAAAAATAATTATGGCAATTTATTACTGTGAATATTGTAATATAATAATATTTGAAAACATCTAAGTACCAGTGACCATTTCTGAATTCTTGACTCTGTGAAATCACTTAATAAGTTTGAATATAGTGAAATACTATAAGGTATCTGAGACATTCTCTCCGTAAATAACAACAAAAACAAAATAATTTGAAAGATTTCCTAATATATTGCCTATACACATAGCTCGTAAGGCGAAGCATAATAGGTGTTGATTCAACAAAAAAATGAACATATTATTATTGTGAAAAATCATAGTTGTAAATCACATCTTTATTGTTTATTGGGCAAACAATAACTTATTATGGATAACTGATAAATTAATATTACTCAATGAGTCACTTGGTGTCGTAATTTAACTTAATTTAGTCTTGTGCGTTTTTCACCTGAAGCACTTAAAAAGGCCTAATATGTATTTATATTGTGAAGTCACAAAATGCTTACTTATGGATTTAAATAACGATATTTTTGTGTGTTCAGATTATTCCCTATCCTTGTACATTTTGACATTTTGAAAATTTAACTTACCTTTCCCGTATACCCTCTAGCCTAAAATGAGGTTCGGTCTATATTTCTTCCACCACAATTAACAAAAACACGTAAATTTCATATCCAAATGGCAAGTCACAGGTCTTGCCACTCGCCAGCAGCCTGCAAATTTAAAATAAATTAACTTTTCGTTATTTTTCATAACTACGTCAATATCTAGGTCACCATTATCTCGAATTTCAAATTTCAATTTGGAAATTGGCACCACTCTCCTTACCACTCAAAATCAAAACAACATAAATCTACATCGTGGGTTAACTGCTGCAGCTGTTTGGCAGGAGAGTTTAACAATAGCAGCCATATTCAACCTTTTTTTGATTTGGGTCACATAGAATATTTTAAAATATTATCCTGGACGCAAGTCGAAATGAACGGAACGGAGATTAAAAAAAAAACTAAAAATACATTTGTATATTTTGTATAACATTTGAAAATGTATTGGAAAAAAATTAAATATTTATGTGCTACTCTTAACAAGTCGTCAAGTTGTGAATCAGTAAGCCAATTTCTGTAAACATCCTTTGCATATTTCATTTCTGAATATGAAGTTTCACATAGATATGTTGATGTGAACATTGTTGGCAACAAGTGGGCACATTATTGTATGGTTTTGTATTTTAATGGCACTAAATTAAAAAATTCGATGTATTTTTTTGTTCCCTCTTTTCTTTGGAAATAACTTCCAAATTTACACATCGAGCCAATTTAGTTATAAGATAAAAATATAAAATGCATCAAAATCCTTATAAAATATAAATAGTGAAAATACCAAAAACATAATCATCCTTATCGCAATCGAGTAGGACACACTTTGATTGTTCTGTTATAACTATTTTATACTTATAATAATTTTGACATTTTTTCTTCAATTCAATAAGTTCTGTTACCACATAATATAAACCATTGGCTGGCCGCAGGTTGAGTATGGCTGAACTATAGTCAACGAGGGAGGACGATAACGTCAGCGCCATCTACCGTCGCTGCCGTTTCAGACTTTTCAACAAGTGCGCGTCCACGACGATCACTAGTTTTCGCATAGGTAGTCATATTATGTGATTTTTGATTTTTAAATTAACTTTCCGGTTTCTCGTTCCGAGCCAACCGATGAGACTACGACACGAGGTTTTCATTTTTCTTGATACCATCGACAACTAGGTATTGAGTGGGTGGGATGTATCGAAAAAATACATTTCCCGATAATGTCGTGCAGCCATTTGAATTATAAATCCTATATTGATACATGGTATTTATTAATAGTATAATATTAATGAATATTATATAGTATTGTACTTAATTTAATGTACTACCATTTTCGAGAAGTTTGTTTTAATGATCACAAGTCAGTCGAAGTATAGTTTTAAAACGTTATTGTACGTATAATTATTTACTTAATCTTAATACTTTTCTAATCTTGTTACAAGTGACAGAAAAATAAAATACTCGTTCACGTTTATTTTAATAAATCATCTAAAAACTTAACAATTTCCTAATTGATTAGGTTGATTTACTTAGCATGTATAGGATTAAACTAAATAATAATAAATAATGTTAAGTATAGTATGAGATTTTTTTTTTCCAAAACAGTGGTCTATAAAGTAAAATAATACTTAAAAATTATGACGTAAACAACAATTAAATTAAATTTTATAATAATAATAATAATTTAAAAAAACCAATATCTTTAAACTATTTATACAATAGGTGTAGGTAGTAACGCCGCAATTAAAATAATACGTTACTATACTATATGCAATATTATACATTAGTTCTCTGACTCTTAACTAAAAGCTAAAACGGCAATCGCAACCCATTTTTATCATAATAATATTATTATACTACCTATAGGATTGTTGTCCGTTTTGACTTCGAAGAAAGTATATAAACGATAAAGTGATTATTATAATATTCGTAGGTAACGAAATAAAATAAAAGTTTACAGTCGAGGAAGGTGTACAAAATTATATAATCACAATTAGGCTTTTGTCGAACAAAAGACAAAAAAAAAACAAAAAAATGAATTGAGCATACTACCGCCGTGTGTGTCAGCACACGAACGCTGATTTGAGCCATTCGGCAAGATTTAGCTTGATGTTGCCGTTGAGAAGAGGATCCTTCGACTCGAATAGATTGAACGCGATGCTCAGGTGCAGGATGGCGGAAACGAAATCGCCGAACCTCAAGGTGCCGTCCTTCCGCATGTACCTAAGTATGAGGATCGACAACACTTCGGTGTTCACCTGAAAGCCCACCTCGAGCAGCGCGTCCTTTAGCCGTTCGGCTTTCAGGATGCCAGTCTTGTCTTTCGAATGATTCTTGAACACAGTCTGCCAATACTTGAGGCTGCACATCAGGTCCTTAAAATCATTGAACTTCAGTCGCCCGCTGCCTGTGCTCTGTGAATAAAATTGAAATTAAAATAGGAACACTCGAGGAGGAATTATTTAGAGGTACCCATGTATAACCAACTCACCCCCCCCCCTCCAGATATTCCGTCGATCTGATGACCCTCATTTTATTTCTATAAAAAAACTACATAATATTCACTATCTACTTGTATGCGTTATTGTTTAAATTAAGACTGAAACAACTTAAGCTATGATTTGAAATTTTTTTCGATGCCCTTCAAATGCACATCAGGTGAAACACGATTGTCCCTGTTCCATTTTCAAATCATTTGATGATGTGTCAATACGTAATAATATTACACTGCACAAAACGAGTAACGACATCTACTCGACTCAAATAATTATTCCAACTAACAATATGTGTGCTAAATACTAATTAGTAATTACTTGTCGAAACAGCAGCCGAGGAGAAAACATATTTGTTTTAATTATATGAGTATGAGAACCCTTTATTAGTTTTAAAATTAAATTTCCCTGCGTTGTTACGTATAATATGTTCACTAATATATTTTATTCGTCTTATAAACATCGCATTCAGTGAGTATAGGTACATATTCCCATTATTCCTAGTGCAGGTCGTAAACCTAAATATTTATTTAAGCAAATGATTAACAAACATTGCACGAATGCGAAATAATATTCAAAAGTGAAAACTCACATCCAAGGTAATGACTACTTGCCGGCAGACTTCCATGCTAGCACAACTTTTTATATAATCTGCAATAATGTACACCACAAAAAATATCGTTATATTGACCATCGAGAAAAAACAATAGCAATTATTTTAATTTACCATTTGGCAGACAAGCGTCTAGGAGCTCTTGAAGTTCGAATGCATTCACTGTCCTGTGCTCGTCGGCCAACTGTAGGAACACTGATTCGTATTGGACAAACGTCTTACCATCCAAATTTACTGGTGCCTAAATATATTAATGCGATTAGTTTTATTTCGCATTCCGACTTAACCATAATCATTGTATGTTGGCGGTATTGCCAACCTCACCCTACACTATGATTATTTATATTATAATGTACCTACCTTCATTATTGCAGATTTCAATAGCGAAGGGACAGTGTCGAGTAATCTGAAAAAATAAAATCCGATAATAATGATAATAATTATGATATTTGCAGTGCTTTAAAAACGCGTACTTGAGTTTTAATGGTTTGCTAGAATACACTCTCAACGTGAACCCCGATTCTTGGCCAGGTTCAAACGTGGTAGGTATTATCAAATATCCGCCCTGGTCCAAAAAGCATCGATGACTTACCTAGAAAAATATTATAAACAATTGTTGTATTTAACTACCCGCGAATGAATTAAACTCATTATATCATTCTCATACTTGTCTGCTGTTCGTGTATTGTGAGTTAACTAGTGATTTATTTTTTTTGAAAAAATCTTTGCCCGTCGAGTCCATACACGCTTTTGGTAACGAGTACGACGTGAATCCGATCACTTTAGGTTCCATAATGCTGTGTTGG